GACCCTCGGCAGGTGCCAGCACTGCCAGCATCGTGGCAGGCAGTCGTGTCCCTCTGGAGATGAGATGGACAAGAGCAAGTGGCTCTGAGCTTCTGCAGCCTGGCACAGAGAGGGAAAATGCTGTGGAGATCTTCCACCCGCCGCTCCCCAGTTCTTTGGCTTGGCTTCCTGGGAAACCAGCTCTGCCTGGCTGGGCAGCCTGCTCTGATCTGGCCTTGGAGGGGAGAGGAACATCCCCTTGCAGGGGTCTGCAGGTAGCCAACCTCCCTCCCAGAGGGGTCTCTGTGGGACAGGAGCTCCCTGTCTGGGAGCAGTCTCTGCCCATCTGCAGTTACAAGGTTGTGTAAAGGCATTTGGAGCCAGGGGTTTGCCCACACCCCTAGTCTGGAGTGGCTGCCCTGCAGCCCCCTGCCAGCACTGAGAAATGTTGGTGGGCGGGTGTGTGCTCAGCTGCCCTGGGGAACTGGGACAGCCCCTGCTTGAGGTCGGTGATGCTGGGTGATGGGTCTGGGGGATTCCTTTTGCTCCCCTGCCCATCGTCTCCTGCCAGGTGGGATGGCTGCCCTGCCCCAGGGGGGTGCGGCCCGGGGGTAGCTTGACCTGTGCCTGGCTGTGGGTGCAGGCAGTTTGCTGTGTGGGGGTGTTGTGGCTCTCACCGTGGGCAGCAGAGCTGTGGGGATGTGCTGCCACAGCTTTGGCAAGGTGCTGGGGGCCAAAGGATGCTCTAGAGCCCTGGCGGTGTTGCCATAGCAGTGAGCTGGGAAGGGGAAAACTGAGGCAGTAAGGAGACAGGGTGAGATAAGGACATGAACCCAGCAGCCCATGTCAGAGGAATTGTGCATTTCTGTGCAAGGAAACAGCCTCCCCTTGGTGCACAGTGGGGGTTGAGTGGTGTCTGCTGGTGGAGGCAGCCCTGAGATGGGGATACTGGCTGTGCCCAGTGTGGTGACCCCCATCTCCTGCACTGGCTGCAGGGATTGAAATGTGGGGACAGGCAGGTCTCTCCCCAGGGGGGATGCTCCTGCTAGGGTGGAGGGACCCTCAAGCCAACCCTACAAGGGCTGCCTGTGGGAGCTCCCTGCCCCGTGGTGCCCATCCGGCACTTGGCTCCCAGCCTTGCTTGGCACTGCTTGCCCAGCCAAACGCTGGCACAGGGCAGCGGCCCTGAACAGCTCGGCCTTTGTGCTTACCGCTGAACACACCCGTGTGCACGCCGAAGCTCCTTGTCCCTCGGGGAGCAGGACCTGCTCCCCCCTTCCTCCCAGATGCTCGGTCATCCTGGCAGCCCAGCCGTGGAGACGGCGCTTTCACAGCCTGCCAGCACGGCAGGGAAGGGAAGGACAGAATCAGGGAGGCTCCCAGCCAAGGTCCCCTTTGTGTCCCCATGTGACTGCGGGCTCTCCCTGGCATACACACTGCTTCTGCTACCGGGTTTGGATGCTGATGCTGGAGCAGGCAGGCTCCTGCTGTGCCACCCATCATCACCCCAGCAGGAGCTGCTGGTTCGGGAAGGAGCTGTCTCCACCCCTGCCTGTGCCTCTGTCTCTGTCTGGGCATCCATCTGCCTCTCAACCCTGTGTGTGGGGTGCCTGGGGCTGGGAAGCAGCCAGATTTGCTTGGCAGGAGCACTCAGCCGGGACCGTGCAGCTCTGTTCTGGGTGCTCAGTCCCTTGTCACCATCCCTTCGAAGTGATTGGTGTGTGGAGGGACGGGAGGTGGTGGCCAGGCTCGTGGTGCTGCTGTGGTCCTGCTGGGTGTCTCCTCCCTGGGTATGTTGCCGGTGCCAGGGTTCATTTATCAGCATGGGCTGGAGGAAGGTGGGACTGGCGCTGATCGTTTTTTCTGGCCCTGGGACTGCCTGTGTCTTCCCCACGCCAGCTTTGAGCAGGATTAGCAATCACCTGTGCCAGCATGGGGGTGGCTGGACACAGGCTGCTTGATGGAGCTGGGGCTCTGATCTACTCCTGCCAGAGCTGGGAGGTGGTGAGGCAGCACCCCACTGGTTAAATACTGGTGTATTTTGATTGCTGCTTAGCAGAGAAGTCCCTAATTGCCACGTAACCACAGGAGCCTGTGCCATGGGCACACAGGAGACAAGCTGCACTCTCTGTGGGTGTCCCAGCCATTTAGGACAGGGCACACTAGTGTGTTTGGGTCTTCAGTGGGTCCTGGGCACAAGCTGTCCTTCTGGCTGGTGGCCCATGACCAGGCACATAGCAGGGTGGCTGGCTGTGTACAGATGCAGGTGACGGAGCAGCTCCATTGTCCCGCAGGTTGGGCCCTAACAGCATCACAGCCAGTTCTTGTGGACCCACAGACAGACAGGACATGACCAGCATCTTTTTTGGCAGAAGTAGGTACAAGGAGAGCCAGAATGCTCTCAGATGGTGACTTTATGACCACCGAAGTTTCTGATATCTGTTGCAGAGCAGGGCAGCTGAGGCAGAGCACAAGAAGTACTGCCAACTCCCTCAGTGTCACCTGGTGGGGTTGAGGAAAAGGGCCAAGGAGAGAGCCCATGCTGGCTCTGCAGATGTTTATGTGATGTTTGGAGGAGGTATTGTGGTGCCTGGGCATGACTTGAACCACACGTGAACACCTGCTTGGCCCAGCAAGGATCTTGCATTGTCCAGTGCCTGGTGTGATGATGTTCCTCCTGGGAGGGCAGGGATGGGACACCTGGCATGGGAGAGCCAGTTCAGTTAGATGTTGGGGAGCAGGAGGAGCAGCTGCATTGGCCTAGAGGAACCCTCTGTGATGTCTCTTGGTGGCCATGTAAATCTGTGATGCTCTGTGGCACCTCTGTGCTGTTCCATGTGGGGCTGTGGCTGCTGATGCTTGTTCCCATCTTCCTGCTTCATTTGTTCTCCTCTTTTAGCGGCGGTCCATAGTATTCATAGTATTCACACACAACTTGGCAGCAGCTCCCAAGGGTGATGTTAGCCAGTTGCCTGGAGAGCAGGACCCTCCACATCTCTAGTCACTCAGGGGAGACAGGACAGCATGGGGGAGCATGTTGAGGGCTGGCCCCTGGGTCCCCTTCAGCCCCCATAGGTCCCCTGGTTGTGAGAGCCGGGATGAGTGATGGGGCCCCTTGGGTGCTTGGAGACATCTGGGCAGCGAGGTCTGGGGAGCAGGAGTGGGGGAGACATCAGTGTTGGCGTGTGAACAGCTGGAAAAGCCCAGCATGGCCAGGCTCTAGGCAGGTGTCCAAATGCCCTATGTAAAACTTGTGCTCACTTCCCTCCAGTGCTGCTGCTCATCCTCTCTTCCAAACCCAAGCACACGTATTTTATCACCTGGGGAGAGTGGGGGGAAAAAAAAGAAGAAATCTTTTGCTGAAAACCCTGTTCTCATTTTTCTTGTGAGGAAAAATTTTTCCAAAAATATCGTGGTTCCAGTTTGTTCCTCTGCCTGTTCCCTGGGGACACTGTCGCTGTGCATGTCTGGGGTGGGGAGAGGGGGAAGCACATTATGCTGGTCAAAAAGTAATTAAAGCTGGGGTTAATTTTCATGAAGGAGGGTGGGACCCTGGGAAGGCGACGGGAGTGAGTCTAGGACTGAGCACATCAGAAGCTGCTTTCTATTGTGGCTGCTGAGCTAAATATACCCACGGGCGCCCATAGCTGTTCCCACATGTCTGCTGCGCAGGCTCTGGCAGGGTGAGCGGGGTGCTCGCGCTGCTTCCCCCCACCAGGGACACCCTGTCCCCCCAAACACAGTGGGTTTTGGCCCTCCTGGGCTTTGCTTGCCCATGGCCGGGCTGGCAAGGAGCAGTGTCTTGTGCAGAGCCCCAGTCTGTGATGCCTCTGCTGCGGTCACTGTGCCGGCTTGCCAGCAATGCGGCTTTGCAGGAATTAATAGCTGTGTTTATGAAGCACCCAGGGAGGGGAGATGTGCAGCCATTAGCTCTAATGAGAGCTGTTTGCCGTGGCGCTTGGCTCTGTGCTCCCTCTTTTTCCATGAGTCCCCTGGGACCAGGCAACTTCCCACAGCTGCCACATCCACCAAAAGTCAGAGCTGCTGCAGCTGTAACATGCCTGCGCCCAAGCAGAGCTGGGTCCAGCTGTTCTGTACCCAGATTTCTCGGGGTGGGGTTGAGCATGGTGGGTGGGGATGCGGCGGGTCAGTCGTGTGTGCGGCCAGAGCCAGGAGCCCAGCGCAGCCTCCCCTGTCCTCTTCCCGTCTGCCGCGTCCACGGCTGGGGACAGCCATCGGGCTGGGCGGTGGCTTGGTTTAGGCGGTTGTTTTGGTGCTGGGACTATTTTGTCGAGTTTCTGCATTTTGCATTTCTAGCCTTCGTAGCTGCAGTTTGATCTCGCTGCCTCTCAAGCGAGCGCGGCTGGCTGCAGTGCATCCCACTGCCCACTCGTACCTGGCAGACCCCATCAGGGCTGCCTCGGTGTGTTGATCCGTGTCTGTGTGCAGCCCAGAGCTTGCTCCTGGCTGGGGGTGTCACGGTGAATGAGCCAGCACAGGCATGGGGAGCCTGGCTGGCCCTGTGTGGGCCACGCTGGGCTGTGTTCAGCTATTGGTGCAAGGGCAGTTTTTAGTGCAGGCTGTGTGTTGTTACCGGGTCTGCCTGTGCTGTGGTACCCAGACCTGACTGTCACTGCGGCTGCGGAGGTGGCTGGTGGTATCATTGGGATGCACCAGCCTCTTTTCTCAGCCACAAACAGACCAAGGTTGTCGCTGGGTGAGGAGTTGAAGCATCCCCTGCACTGTTTGCTCCACACTGCAGGCAGAGGTGCTGCTGGTGCCCTGCCCACAGCAGCCATGGTCCCAGCGTGGGCCACGCTCACATCCTCAGGACGAGGCTCGTGTCCCCGGGCCCGGGGTGAGCCCCGAGGCTGCCCTCAGCCCACTTCTCTTCCTGCAGGATCCGTCCCCAACTGTCCAAAGAGAAAATAGAGGGATGCCACATCTGCACCTCGGTGACGCCTGGCGAGCCCCAGGTGCTGCTGGGGAAGGACAAGGCCTTCACCTATGACTTCGTCTTTGACCTGGACACATGTCAGGAGCAGATCTACACAACGTGTGTGGGCAAGCTCATTGAAGGCTGCTTTGAGGGCTACAATGCCACCGTGCTGGCATACGGCCAGGTATGTGCTCTGCCTGCTCCTGGGGCTCTGGCTTGGGCTCTCCTGCAGCGCTGAGTGCTGGGGCTGCTGAGATGGCCCCTGCAGAGGTTAGGGAAGGTGGGGGCTGTATAAGCCTCTGGGTGTGGATGGGACAGAGTTGTCCCTGGGCTGGGTGAGAGCTGGGGTAGGGTCTGGCCTTGGGTGGAGGAGAGGGAGGCAGGGCTGGGGTGGGAGCATGGGAGCCTGTGTGGTGGTGGGGATCAGAGGGGCTCACAGAGGTGTTTGGGGAGCCTGGGGTGGCAGGGGGAGGTGTGGGGCACAGTGGGCAAAGCTGAGCCTGGGAGGGACCAGCCAGCTCTCCCATTGCTGCTTCTCTGCAGACTGGCGCTGGGAAGACATACACCATGGGCACCGGCTTTGACATGAACATCTCCGAGGATGAACAGGGCATCATCCCACGGGCCATTGGCCACCTCTTCAGTGGCATCGAGGAGCGCAAGCGGGCAGCACAGAGTCAGGGCGTGGCAGCACCTGAGTTCAAAGTCAGCGCCCAGTTCCTGGAGGTGGGTGACAGCAGGTCCAGGTGACACTGTGGCCCTGTCCTGATCTTTGCTCAGTTCCCCTGTCCTGGGCTACTTGAGTCCTCCATGTCCGCTCTGCTCCCTGTCTGAGCTGGTCCCCACAGCAGGCGTGTGGCTGGGGATGCATGCTAGGGCAGAGGAGACTCAAAGCACCTGAATGTTGTTGACCTCATGATGGCCACAATCTGAGGTGGCACTTTCTTGGCTGCAGGGACACCCCCACCACCACCTCCTCCCCACCATGAGGAAGCGGCTTGTGCCTTGGTCCCCTGGAGCTTCAGGGGGCTCTGGGCTAGCTTATTCCTGTTTGAGGTCACGGGTAGCGGCATACCTGCCCCCCTGGCTCTGGACCAGTGTTCCCAGTGAAACAAGGAGAGGGAAAAGTGCCACTCTTGTGGGGATTTGAGGAAGAGCTGCATTATTTCCCATGTCCTTTGCTGCATCTTTGACCTTGAGAGTGCTTCAGTTGCATCCTCTCCCGCCTCTGCTTTGGTGTCTCCATTTCAAAAGCCTTTTCTATTAGCCGCTTCTTCCCTTGAAAAAGTTTATCCCAGGAAGCCTGTGGACCTTATGTATCTGCAGTGGCTTCCCTGTGGTCTGGCCCTGGGGTGAAAGTGCAGAGAAGCTCAATATGGGAACCGTGTTATAGGCCCTGGTGAGAAAACATAGGGTGGTGTTGAGCAAAGTTGAGCTCCTGAACAAACTTCATCTGGTTGGTGTCCTGATCTGAGGTACATCCCAGAGGAGACAGGCAGGCAGAGGGAAAGGCCCTGTGCTGTGAGCTTGCCACCATGTGGCTTTGGTGGGCATCCCATCTGGGTTCCTCCAGATGTCGATGGCCTGGAGAAGGGAAGCAAGTGCCCAAAGTCACCTCCTAGCCTGGAGGGCTGACCTCCTTGCTGGAGAAATCCTTCCCTATCAGCTTTCCACCTTGTTAGCTCCCATGGTGCTGTTTTGCCCAGCCACATCCTTCCCTCCCCACCACTTGTCCTGTCTGAGGTTCTGGCTGTCTTCCCACATGTCCTCAGCCTCGTGGAGCTCTGCTCTGGGGAACCTCTGGGCTGGGATGGAAATGAAATGGATGAAATGCCTGCCTGTGCTGAAGTCCTTCTGGGGTGAACCTTGTCAGGCTTTCTCCCTGCTGAAGAGTCCCTGTTGGGGCTGGGGCATAGTCCTGCCTTCCCTGGACTATAGGATTGGATACTGGCCTTCACCCCATGCGACACTTTCCCTTCTCTTTCAGCCCCCCATATCTGCCCTCTAGGAGATCCTCTGCTGTCCAGCTATAGTTTCCCTTGCCTCAGTTTCTCCCAGTTTGGGATGACCCAGTGCTGCCCCAAAGAGCTGTGTGACCTGTTAGCTGGGATTGGAACATGTGAAGGATGAACACTGGGGAGGGGGACACCTGTGCTGCTTCTGTCACAGGCGATCCTGGAAGCATCTCTGCAGACCAGAAGTTCCAGTGCAAGCCCAGGGGCACCTGGGGGTGATGGAGCAGTGGTCCTGTATGGGGTCACACCAGCTGCCCTGGGGATTTCCTGTAGTCTTTCTCTCTCTTCACCACCTCTGACCCCTGGTGGTTTTGACTCTCAAAATAGCCTCAGAGATGTTTTTCTGGTGACTGCAGTGGAGGATGGGAACAAGGCTTCCTCTATTGTGTTTCAGAGCTGCTCCTGGTCATGCTTCCCCAGCTAGCTGTGCCCTGTGGGACACTGCCAGCCCCACGGTGGGGGGCTTGAAGGCTTTCCAAGGACCCTGTTACATGGGGGGGAGAGTAAAAACCCGTTGCCTGATGGTCCGGTGACCAAGGCCATTGTTGGAGCTTGTCGAGGGTTTTGCCCACTAGTCCACCATGTGGTCATGGACATCAAACCAGGAGCTCCTGTGCCACTGTGACAAGACCTGTCTACAGTCACCCTTCTCCAGGCAACCCAGGGAATGTTTTGGGGAGATAATGGATCTCTTGTGCCAACATGAGCACATGGCTGGTTACCAACCCTGCTGTGCCAGCAGTGGTACAGGATTTGGCCTTGCTGATCCCCGTCCTGTGACTCTCGTCCTGTGAGCAGGCTGTCAGAGCAGGGTTTTAGCCTCTGGGGAGCCCGTCTGCACCTGGGGCAGCCTGGGATGGATTAGACTGATCTGCTCTGCTGGCCAGGAGCCTGTGGTCCTTGGGTGACCCTGTTCTCTGTGCTGGGATGTGGGTGCCAGAGGGTGACATGGCATTGAGTCCTGGTGATAGAGGGACAGACAGGCAGGGGTGTCCCTCTACCCCAGGGTGAGAAAGAATGCTGTCAAGATATGAATCTCAAGGTAAGAATCATCCTCTGTCAGCTCTGGGTCCTCAGGGTTTTTCCTGCTTGTCTTGCACTCCCTGGTCCCCCTTGTCCCCTTTCCCCCTGGCAGAGGTGACCTCAAGGAGCTGTGGTGGGAGAGGGGCTCTGCTGGCTTGTTGGCCAGGGGCTCCCTGGGTAAGCAGAGAAGGCTGGGGGGATGTGTAGCTCCCAGGTGTCCACTCAGGCTCTGGGAACAGGGCTCTGAAAGTGTCCTGGTTCACACACAGCTGCTTGTGTGGGCCAGGGCCAGGACAGGGTCACAGTGGGAACCAACCCAGACTGTGGCTCAGAGCTTCGCGTGGCAGACAGGCTCATGTGTCCATGCCTGCGCACACACACCGTCCCTTCTGGGCGTCCTGTCCTAGCTGGGTACCCACACGTACAGGTCACAACTTGCCTGTACATCATCCATCTGCTTGTGCGTCCTGTCTGACATTTGCAGGCCCACCAGCTCTCCTGGTCAGCCTTGCCTAAGCGTACAGCGGTGTGGCCTGGCCTCCTGGCTCTCAGGACTGCAGCAGCAGGATGTCGGTCCCGCTGTGCCGGGATCTAGCAGCCTCCTGCTTCCTACTGCTCACCCTGTACTTGCTTCTGCCCCACTCAGCTCTACAACGAGGAGATCCTGGACCTGTTTGACAGTGCCCGCGACCCTGGTGCACGCCACCGCAAATCCAACATCAAAATCCATGAGGATGCCAGTGGAGGCATTTATACCATGGGGGTCACGTCGCGCCTCATCAACTCACAAGACGAGGTGGGTGCAGGACAGGGCAGACATGGAGGGAAGGCAGCTGGGTGCCCACTGGCCAGGGATGTGCTACATGGGGACAGACAGGCGAGATGGGGACAGAGGATGGGACAGAGCAGTCCCGGGGTGATGCAGGGAGAGGTTGCTGTGCCCACTGGGCTGTGGCAGGGTGCTGTCTTGACTCCCTAGAAGGGTCCTTCAAGGTTTTTTTCTTCCCTCCCCTATGTTATTGTAGCTGATCCAGTGCCTAAAACAGGGCGCTCTTTCCCGCACCACTGCCAGCACTCAGATGAATGTGCAGAGCTCCCGGTCGCACGCCATCTTCACCATTCACCTGTGCCAGATGCGAGTGTGCACCCGTCCAGAGCTGGTGAGATGTGCTCCTGCCTTGTGGTTGGGCTCTTTCTGGATCTGATACCCAGGCAATTTGTGTGGGTCCCTTGGAAAGGGAGAGGGTTTGAAGTCTTGCAAAGAGAGGCAGGGCTTTTTCTTTCTTCTTTACAGTCATAGCCAGCATTAGCATTTACTGGGAGCTGAGGTCTTCCCTGGAGCAGCCCCATCCAAGGCAGGAATGGTCTGGCCCAAGGAGTGGCCCAGAGCAAGCTTCTGTTAGAATCCTCTCCCCCATACTTAGGGGTGGGATGCGGGGGGTGAATGCTCAGGCTTTTGCTCATGTCTGAGTATGGTCAAGGGGGCTCCTGCTGGCTCTGGATCTGTGACATTGACCCTCTCCCTATGTGCCTGGCCGCAGGTAAACGGGGAGGTGACCAGCCTCCTGGACAGAGCCCAGCCCACTACCGAGTATGAGACCCTCACGGCCAAGTTTCACTTCGTAGACCTGGCTGGCTCGGAGAGGCTGAAGAGAACGGGTGCTACCGGCGAGAGAGCAAAGGAAGGCATCTCCATCAACTGTGGGCTGGTAAGGCCCTGGGCACCCGTGTGCAAGGGGAGCGGGGAGGCAGGGCCTGCCTGGGGGAGCCTACAACACCTTTGGGTCCTGCTTGGAGCTACTTGGGGCTTTTGGGGTTGCTGCTGTCTCTGTTGGCATTCATGGTACCTGGCCCTGTGGGCAGGAATATGCCCAATCCAAAATGCCAGTGGCAAGGGCACAGCTCTGCTGCTGAGGGGAGGAGTACAGCTGGGCACAAGGGTGCAAGTCCCCAACAGGTCAAGGTCTGTTCACTTGAGCTTAAAAAAACCTCCAGGGCATGTGTTCCTCAGTGCATGTGGGAGAGAGGCCCAGCCCAGGGAAGGGGGGTGAATGCTGAGACTGCCAAGGGAAGCTCCATCCCTCAACCTCTTGCACCCCAGACCTTGTGCTGCAGCACATTCCCCAGGCCTGATGTGCTGGCTATGTGACAACTGTATTCTCAGTAGGGGCTGAATTGGGGGGGCTCTCCTTTGTGTTGGTAGCTGGCCTTGGGGAACGTCATTAGTGCCCTTGGAGACCAGAGCAAGAAAGTTGTGCATGTGCCCTACCGTGACTCCAAGCTCACCCGCCTGCTGCAGGATTCACTTGGGGGCAACAGGTAAGGGGGTCCAAGCTGAGCCCTGGGAGAGGACTGAAGGGGCTGTCCCCCTGCAAATAGGGCTGAAGGTCTGTGAAGCCATGGAGGAGCTATTTCAGGACTCAAATGCCCCGTGGGTTGCCTGGTGGGGAGGGGATGCCTCTTGGCAGGCAGTGTGTGACTTTATAGATGTAAAGACCTTGGCTCCTCATGAGTCCCAGACACAATTAGCCAGCTTTGGCAGAATTAGCTGGTGCAAAACTCTCTGGAGCCCTTGCAGATCTGGGACTTGGCAGGTGGTGTTGCCCAGTATGGGACGGATTGAATTCCTTGCCTGCTTTGGGGGTATTTCTCCCAAGAGCCCATACTTCCTCAGCAGTCCTGGCATGTGTGGGCTGGCTGGTGGAGGGTGGCTTTGCTCCGTGCTGTGTTGTTCCTGTGGTCTTGCTGGTGCTCTGTCTCTGGGAGGGACTGAACCCGTTTTATACCTTGGTTATAAATCACAGAAGGGCCTAGGAGGGGTGTCTGGGGACACCTGGCCTGTGCTGGGTCCCAGGTTTCCAGTTGCTGTGTTGGCTCAGGGTGAGAGAAACTGTCCTTTCACCGTGAACTTCACCTCCCCAAGCCAAACCATCATGATTGCCTGTGTGAGTCCATCTGACCGGGACTTCATGGAGACCCTGAACACGCTCAAGTATGCCAACCGGGCTCGCAACATCAAGAACAAGGTGGTGGTGAACCAGGACAAGACAAGTCAGCAGATCAGTGCTCTGCGGGCTGAGAACGCCCGCCTGCAGATGGAACTGATGGAGTACAAGGCGGTGAGTGATGGAGAGAGCCTGCAGAGGTGTGATGGAGGCAGAAGAAAGCTGCCTCCTTGTGTTTGAATTGGGGCCATTTTAGTGGGAAAGACCCTCCTGTCTACCATGCTCTGCCCCTACTGATAGGGGTAATTGCTAGGAGAGGTCAGGAGGCTTAAGAGATGGGAGCTCAGCTCCTGCCCTGCCACAAGCAGGACCTTGGGCAAGTCCCTTGGGGATGCTAAGGCAGGGAGAAGCCTTGAAGCATCTATCACCCCCTGCCCATGGAGCTCAGGCCTTCCTGGTCCTTACATTTGTCCCTGTCCCTGCTTTGGTGGCTGAGGCTACCCCCAGGATGCGGTGGTGAGCCCCCCTATCCCAGCTCGCTCTGCACTCAGGGACTCCCCTCCTGTCCCCACAGGGCAAGCGGGTCATTGGGGAGGATGGCACGGAGGACTACAGCGACCTTTTTCATGAGAACGCCATGCTTCAGAAGGAGAATAGTGCTCTGCGCATGCGGGTGAAGGCCATGCAGGAGGCCATCGATGCTATCAACAGCAGGGTCACCCACGTCATGAGCCAGGAGGCCAATCTGATACTGGCCAAGGCAGGTGAGGCTGGGTTAGTGAGTGCATGGCATGGCGGGTCAGCCCAGCCAGCGTAGCTGGGATGGGTGCTGTGGTACAGCCCATGTCTTGCCTTGATCCACCTCTGCCTCTGCTCTTCCAGGTGATAGTAATGAAGCCATTGGTGCTCTCATCCAGAACTACATCCGGGAGATTGAAGAGCTGAGGTGAGCTGGGTATGGGAGCTGGTTGATCACCTGGGTCCCTGGGCTGGTGGGTGCTGTGGTGGGATCTGAGCCCAGGTGTGGATCACAGCTCCATGCCTCCAGCATCACTGGGGTGAGTTGTAAGCCCTGATGGAGTAGCAGCTGACTACACTGCTGCTACACTGGGGCTCTAGGAGTCCTGGCTTTGGTGTCAGACAGGGCTTTGGCTGTTGTCATGCTTTGTGTGGCCACTGATGGAGAGGGAGATCTTGGTGGGAGTGCCTGGTGTCTCCCAGGCACTGCTGGTCCCCCAGACCTTCATTCATCCCAATCTCTTGTGTGATCCTGGGACCCTGTCCTGCAGCATCCTGACCTGACCCAATACGAATAGGAATGGTTTTGTGGTGACTCTGTCCCTGGCTCACACCATCCTAAAACCCTCCAGGGACAGTGGAATGTCTCCTCTTTGACCACATCCCATCTACACTCCCTAGGACGAAGCTCCTGGAGAGTGAGTCCATGAATGAGTCTCTGCGCCGCATCCTCTCGCGTGTCTCTTCCCGTCCCCCGTACTCCATGGGCTCATCCCCAGCATCTGGCTTGGCTGGCCTGTGCAGCCCCGCTGCTCCAGTGGAGACGGAGGCCTCTGATGTCCTCCGACGGGCCAAGCAGGACCTGGAGCGCCTGAAAAAGAAAGAGAGGAGGCAACGGAGGAAAAGGTGAAGACAGCTGCTCTGCAATGTTGGGAAGGGGGAGGTTGCATGTTGGTCCATCTGTCCTTGTGGGATCGGGTATCCTGACTCCCCCATCCATGCTAAAGTTCAGAGCACCAAGACAGAACCCAGATGCCTGGGTTCCCCTCCCAGCACTGCCTTGCCCTTGGTCTCCTTTTCCCCCACCACATGATCCTGGAGGCTGTTTTTCCCAAAGGGACCAAAGGCAGGAGACAAGGGGGGCCCTGGAAGGACCCATCCCTGGGCTCTCCCACACTGAGATTCACCAGCACCCTGTTCTCCTCCAGCCCAGAGAAGGAAGCATTTAAGAAGCAGCAGAAACTGAAGCAGGACAATGGGGAGGAGACAGATGAAAACGAGGTGGAAGAGGTGAGGAGGCTTCGTGCTTATACCGAGTGGGGTGTCTGGGTGCGGAGCATTGCATTCGCCCCATGTGGGAGAGGGACCAAGCCCAGCCTAGCGCTGCAAGCAGGCTGGAGAGGTCGTGGAGCCGAGGACTCTGTGCTGCAGGAGCAGGGAGCTGGATGCTCCCCAGCCAGCCCTGCTGTGGAGTGAAGACCCCACATCTTTTTGCGCTTGGTTTCAATAAGTGTAGGTGAATGGGGGTTGAGTGATGCAGTGCTGCTCAGCTGAGAGAGGATGGATGCAAGGATAGATGGGGCACAGAGCTGCTCCTCTCAATAGTGTACGCTGGGGGTCCAGAGATGGTGCTGCAGCCCCTGGGCATCCTGTGTGAGAGGCTGAGTCCTGTTGTGGGGGCTACAGTCCATCATTGTGGGGTGAACTCAGGTTTAGAGGAGGGAAGAGCTGCAGAGAGAAAGGCGAGGCCATGCTGCAAGCTGAGGTTAGGCACTTGTGTCTTAGGAGGAGGAGGAACAGGATGAGAGTGGCTGTGAGGAAGAGGATGGACGTGAGGATGAAGATGAGGACTCAGGCAGTGAAGAGAGCCTGGTGGACTCGGACTCGGATGCAGAGGAGAGGGGTAAAGTGCAGAGCCACACATGCAGCCCCAGGGTATGGGGTGTATTTGCTGGTGCCTCCTGGCACTGAGCTCTGGTCCTGGGAAAGGATCTGCTGGGATGCTGCAGCCACATCTCCTCTGGGGGGCTTGGAAAAACATGAGTTGCTGTAGGGAGTCTCCAAAACTTTTTGGGGTGCTGCGATGTGGGTTCCCATTGTCTCCCTCTGCTTGTGCTGTGGCTCAGTGAAGCCGTAAGAGCAATGGTCCCCCATCCCTCCCAGCCTGACTGTTCCCTACCTGCCTCCAGCTGTGAATTTCCAGGCCGACCTGGCAGATCTGACTTGTGAGGTAGAGATCAAGCAGAAGCTGATTGATGAGCTGGAGAACAGCCAGCGGCGCCTGCAGACCCTCAAGCACCAGTACGAGGAGAAGCTGATCCTGCTGCAGAACAAGATTCGGGACACACAGCTGGAGCGGGACCGGGTCCTGCAGAACCTCAGTGAGAATCACTGCAGCGTTGGGCCCCAGTCCCTGCTCCTGCCTAGCTGACTCAGGGTTAAAGCATCCACCCCCTGCATGCCACACTCGCTCTGATAGAGCTTTGCCATCTCCCTGCCTCTGCTTGTTGAACCCCTGGGACCTGCAAGACCCTGCTTGTCTTACCATGGGAGTGGCACTAGTCAGCTGGAGAGGTGGCTGGAAAGGATGCTGAGGCAAAGACTCTTATAGCCCTGAACTGGTGAACAAAACATGAGATGTGGGAGTACTTGGGGAAACTGATGTGCTGAGTGGCACATGAAGACCCCAAAAACTGAGTAGTATAGCTGATCTCTAGGCTCAGCAGGGCAGGATTACCCGTCTGTAGATCTAGATCTGCAGCTCCTCTCAGCCCAGCAATTGTTCTTTAACCCACTGTCCCCACCCTGCACTGAGCCCTAGTTTATCTCTTCCAGCAGGTTCCCTCAGATAGTCCCTGGCCTGTGATGGGGCCAAAGCAGAGGGGTGAGGGAGAGGTCTGGCAGGATGGGGAGGGAGTAGTGGCAGGTGCTTCCAGGCAGGGTGTGTAGGTGAAGGAGCCCAGGGTTCGTGGCCATCTCAAGCCCTCTTCTCTCTCCCTCAGGCACTATGGAGTGCTACACGGAGGAGAAAGCCAACAAGATCAAAGCAGACTACGAGAAGCGGCTGAAGGAGATGAACCGGGAACTGCAGAAGCTCCAGGCAGCCCAGAAGGAGCACGCTCGACTGCTCAAGAACCAGTCCCGCTACGAGCGGGAGCTGAGGAAGCTGCAGGCGGAGGTGGCTGAGATGAAGAAGGCAAAGGTACCTGGACATGCCAGGGCAGGGAGGACAGCCCCTGGTCAAGTCTGGCTCTCTGCTCAGAAGTGATGTTTTCCACTCCTGGTGACAAGTGCAGGATATCTGTCTGTCTATCGGGTGGGTGGGTGCCCTGGGACAGTCGGGTGCCCGCACCGACATGTGGTACCTTCCTGTTCCAGGTCGCGCTGATGAAGCAGATGCGGGAGGAGCAACAGCGGAGGCGGCTGGCAGAGACAAAGAGGAATCGGGAGATCGCACAGCTCAAGAAGGAGCAGCGCCGGCAGGAGGTGAGAGCCCAGCCCACGCACGTGCTGCTGGGTGTCCCTGTGCAGAGGGAAACTGGGCTGGCTGGGAATGGATGTTTGTCCTGCTCTGGCACTCTGAGGTGCTCATAAATATCAGTTGGTGAAGCTCGGGGCACTGCTGGACCCATGGTCTGGCCAGGGGCTGTGCAGCCCCAACAGAGCACACCTGGCTGAATGGCTCCCAAGGGGTTCCCACAGCTCCCAGCATGGCTGTGGGAGATGCTGGGAGCTCCCCACCATGCATAAGGGGCAATGTGCCCTCAAGGCTGGAAACCTGCTCACTGTCAAAATCAGGAGACTGTTAGTGCCAAATTAACTGCCCCAAGCTTTGGTGGTGGGAGTGCCAGGACTCCAACCATCACTGGGGTGTCTGGGCAGGACCCCAGGGATCTCTCTCTCATGCAGTTTCAGATCCGAGCTCTGGAGTCTCAGAAGCGGCAGCAGGAAATAGTGCTGAGGAGGAAAACCCAGGAGGTGAGAGGAGGAGAATTTGCTTCCATGTACCCTCCGCTCCCCGTGGAGGTCCTGGCCCCAGTGCTTGGCTCCTCCAGACAGAGTCAGCTCTTGGGAGTGGGTTTCCCAAAAGGGTGGGAGGATTTTTACAGCTCAGTAACCTGGTGGGAGATGGTTGCAGGCAGCAGAGGAATTACCCATCTCCTGGGGTAGCTGAGCCCAGTGGCAGAGGATGAGCTATGAGGGAGAAGGGGGAAACCCATGAGGCACAAAGGACCTGGGTACTTTGGGTCTTCAGAGCTCCCACTCTTGGTCCCATAGGGACCTGGGGTGACTGTGACGTTTGGACGGGGGACACCTGTCTGACACCCCCTCCTCCGCCCCTTCCCTGGGCAGGTCTCAGCACTGCGCCGTCTCGCTAAGCCCATGTCAGACCGGGTTGCCGGCAGGACGAGCCAGAAGTCGGCCATGCTGGATTCAGGCACAGAGGTCTCGGCAAGCACCACCTCCTCCGAGCCCGAGTCTGGCGCTCGGTCTGTCTCCAGCATCGTGCGCCAGTGGAACAGGAAAATCAACAACTTCCTTGGAGACCCCTCGTCCTCCATGAATGGGGCTCGGCCCACCAGGTCAGGGCAGGGACTGTGTGGATGAGTGATGACACATCCCAGGACTCCCACGTCTGGCTTTTGACCGGTGGCGGAGTTTGAAGGCCAGCTTCTTATTGTGCGTTTGGCCAGTGTTAAATCATTGACCAGTGACAGGTTGTGCTGGCAGCATGTGACTGACTGTCACCTGGGCTTGAGCCCAGTGCTGGCCTTCCATGAGTATTAAATGCCACCGCACAAACCCTGCTAGGCTCATCTTTTGCTCCTCTTTTTGCTAAGGGGCGATGGAAAAGGTGGACAATCCAGAAATGGTGGAGATGCCTCCTCCGTTCCTGGCCAGCCAGAGACCAGGCATCCTTTTGGGCCCAGCACAGTTTTCCAGGTGTGGTGTGGCCGGTTGCCCATACGTGCCTCTTCTCCCCTCTGGCTGTAGGAAGAAGTTCCCCAAGAAGGGGACAAGCCAGACCTTTGGCAAAGCCGCCCGCCTCAAGTGGCAGTCGCTGGAGCGGCGCATCTTCGACATTGTCATGCAGAGGATGACCACCATCAACCTGGAGGCTGACATGGAGCGGCTCATCAAGGTGACCATGGCACTTAGGACAGAAAGTGCTGGGTGGTGGGTGTGGGGTAGGGGGACTGCCATGCTGACAGTGCCAATCCCCCTCCCTTTTCCCCCAGAAACGCGAGGAGCTGGCGCTGCTGCAGGAAGCATTGCTGGGCAAGAGGGCGAAATTGCAGGCAGAGAGCCCCAAGGAGCAGAAGGGGCTGCAGGAGCTGAATGAAGAGATTGAGGTGCTGGGAGCCAACATTGACTATATCAACGACAGCATTTCTGACTGCCAGGCTACCATCATGCAGATTGAGGAGACCAAGGTAGGCAGCTGGACTGGGCCCAGCTGGCAGGGAGAGAGCAGGAGCATCCCTGAGAGAGTGGCTTTGGGTACAGCCAGGCTGGGTGTCCCGCAGTCCTCCTCTGAGCTGTGTCACACACTCAGTGGGGCTGCACCTGAGTCACTTCTCATTAGGTGGTTAATTGTGGAGCAGAGTGCTGCCAGGTCCTTGCACCTCCGAGGACAGGCTGTTGGTGCCCTGCACCCCACCACCCTGGGATTACAGGGAAGCTGCAGCCCCTGTCTGGCCCATGGGGCTGGCGGTCACTTGTCCCTGTCAGAGTTGTGTGGTGGTAACGTCTCAGAGAGGACTGTCTTTTCTTCCAACAAATACTGCAGGTTTTGTGTCCATTTTTGACACTGGGCATGTTGCAGAGATGCTGTGCAGCTCCCAACTCCCCTCTGGTGGCTGCGGCCTGGGCTGGAGGCTGTGTGCTGTCCCTGGCTTGTCCCCAGCTTGTCACCAAGATTGATGGGAAGAAGGGGCTGTTGTTAGTTCACACTACTAACCTTTGGGACAGTGACTTGATCTGCTGTGGATTTGGGTGAGGCTGGTGTCTGCAGATTAGTGGCTAATTAAATGTTGGCACCAGGATTTCTGTAGCAACACAGGAGCCCTTCAGGTTGTGTTGGCCATCTCCATGGCCAGATCTCCCCAGCAGTCTCTTGGGCAGACTGAGGAGGGCGAGCGTCAGGCCTGGGCAGTGTGGGCAGGGCAGTGGGTGTGCTGTGCTGGCCATGGAACCCGTCCTACCCCGAACAGCAAAGCTTCCCCGTTGCCTCCAATGCCCGTCCCTCCCTGTTTCAGGAGGAGCTGGACTCCACGGACACCTCAGTGGTGATCAGCTCCTGCTCCCTGGCTGAAGCCCGACTCCTGCTGGATAACTTCCTGAAGGCCTGCATTGACAAGGTGCGGGGCCAAGCTGGGGCCCAGACGCGTGATGGGATTTCTCACAGCTGGGGAGGGGCGCAGGGTGCCGGGGTAGAGACGTGGTGGCGGAGACCCAGAGCACCCGCCTGAGGCCTGGCATGGCCATCCTTCCCCAGGGGCTGCAGGTGGCCCAGAAGGAGGCCCAGATCCGCCTGCTGGAGGGGCGCCTGAGGCAGACAGACATGACCAGCTCCTCGCAGAACCACGCTATTCTGGATGCCCTGTGGGAGAAGGCCGAGTTGCACCCAGAGCTGCAGGCCCTGATCCACAATGTCCAGCAAGGTGAGACCCGGGTCTGGCGCATCCTCAGACAAGGCATGCTGCCTGCAGGGCAAGGTGCCCCACTCGTGCCAGCCCCTCAAGGAGCACCTGGACGTGCTGTAGCTGGGACCTGCATGCCCAGGGCTGCCCTGAGGGCGATGACGGGGGTGGGATGTGTGCTCCAGCCACCACACAACAGGGACAAGGACCGGGTCCCCCCTGCCAACTGCCTGCGCTGCCCCCTCTGCCACCAGTTCAGACAGGGCTTGGCACGATGGGGTCCCCTCTGCACTGCTGATGCACTGTCTCCCCCCTGCACAGAGAATGGCTACACGAGCACAGATGAGGAGGTCTCAGAGTTCAGCCTGGCTTCAGATGGGAGGTGAGCACTCAGTCCAGCCCTGCCTGAACGGATGCTGGCTAAGGAGGCCAGGGGTGGGGTGGGATGTCTGGTGTCACCCGTGGGACCTCATGGATGGACAAGCCTAAGCTTTCTCATATTGCCCAGCCCTTGGGGAGCGAAGCAAAGATGTCTTTTAGACTCTAGCACAGAGTGAAGATTAGGTCATCCCTTGGAGAAGGGGTGCTGGGAAGTAAGGAGTGACCCAAGGAGTCTGGTGGGCCGGTGGCACTCAGCTCTTTGAAAGGAGTTTGGCACTGAAGATCCATCTTTGCTCTCTTCTCCTTGCAGCATCTCCCAGTCTTTCACCATGAAGGGCTCAGCAAGCCAGGATGACTTTAAGTTCAAGGTTAGTTGGCTTTTCTGTGTGGCCTCGTCACAGGGAATGGGAGGAGGGATGGAGGGGCATGTTGTTCAGGGATGCTCCAGGCCTCTGCTCTGTAATCTAACTTCTGGAGAGCCAGGACTGGCATAAGGCAGTATGGCTAGTCTCTGGGTGGGGTCATCTCTAGACAAGGGGGAACCAAGGCCTTCTGGTAACCGTGGTCCTCTGAAGCACCAAAAACTTGGGAAACATCCACCACATCAGCCAATACCCTGCAGATTTGAGTGGGCACCAAGGAAGTCCTTGTGCAATGCTGCATCCATTGTGGGCAAAGGTGGAGGAAAGTGTCTGTTCTGCACAGACTGTCACATCTGCCTAGAGTATGGAGAGCTGGCACTGTGATGAGCATCCCAGTATGATACAGAGGGAACTCAACCTCCTGTGGCCAGAGAGCGTGAGCTCTTCCACCCCACAGCTCTCTGGCTGCTGCTGCTGTCCTTCCCCTGTGCTGCCTGTGCCTGAGCACTCTGCCCTGCTCTAGGGAGAGCCCAAGCTCTCGGGGCAGATGAAGGCAGTGTCAGCTGAGAGTCTAGGACCCACACTGGATGTCTCCACCGAGAACATCACCAAGTCCTTGGCATCCCTCATGGAGATCAAAGAGGATGGCATCAGCTTCTCCATCCGAGACCCCTATTACAAGGAGAAGGTGTCACGCACCGTCAGCCTGCCCACGCGAGGAAGCACCTTGTGAGCATGGGGTGATGGGTCTCTGGGCATTGGGAGGCTCATGGAGTCATGGGCCATCAGGTGGGGAGCTGTGCTCTGGCTGTGGACTTGCAGAGCAGTGAGGGTGAGCTCAATCCTGCATCTATCCAGACTTGTTTGCAGTAAGCAGTGGTGGATTTCTCCAGCAGGACTTTGAGACTGTCTAGGAGTGTGTTGGTATCCCCTGCAGATGGAGAGAAGGGTACTTTAGGAGGGAAAGAAGGGAGGGGTGCAAGGTTCCCTGACTCACTGACCTGGGTTGTCAGCCTTCTTGAAGGCTTCTTGAGTTGTCAAAAGCCTCCACACTCATGCAATGGCTTGAGGCATCCTCTGATCTTGTGATTGTGACTTCAGGGCAGCCCAGCTTCTCCATTTGCTTTGCTAGGGAAGGATGTTGGTGTTCATCATGGAGGGATACCAGCTGTGCTCTGTTTCATTTGCTTTAGTCCCAGGCAATCTCGTGGCTCAGACACTTCTCCTCTGACAAGGAGGAAATCCTATGACCGTGGACAACCTGCCAGGTGAGCTTGGAACTGGAGAAATGGCAACATGGGCAGGGAGAAACTGGGTGGCCCAGACAAGTGGTCCAGTGCTGGCTGGACCAGCTCTTGCTGGGCTGTGCTGTGCCAGGCAGCTGCCAGGTGAGCAGTTCCCAAGTCATGTGTCCCTCTAATCCTTCCTGTTCCAGGCCTCCAGATGTCGGCTTCACACCTCCTTCATCCCCACCCACCCGTCCACGCAATGACCGCAATGTCTTCTCTCGTCTCACAAGCAACCAGAGCCAGGGGTCTGCCTTGGATAAGTAAGTCCTGGTGGGGCGAGAGGATCTGAGTGAGGGGGACCCATAACAACAGCAAATGGCATGTACTGAGGTCCCACAGTGGGGTGTAGGAGCACAGGACCTGGGTCGGCTCCAGCCAGCCTCCTGCCACCATTTTCATTCCCTGCTCTTTTCCATGAGGGAGCAGATGCTCTGCAAGGGCTATGCTGGACCCTGCCTGCTGTGTGTCCCCTCCGACCTGGCTACCTGCAGGAGCTCGCAGTCCTGGCCTCTGGCTAAGCCCTACTGGGAGAAAGTGGTGCCAGACAGGCCACTGGAAAAAGCTATGGAGCAAAATGGGATGAGGTGGGATGGCCGACAGACTGGCACCAACCCACAAATGCTGCTCCAGCCTCCCCCTGCAGCAGGTCAGGCCACTGCCCTCAGCTCGGAGCATTGCTAGCAGTGCTGACGTTCCCTGATGGAGACCTGCTGTCTGATCCTCACATGCCCTCCTGCTCCTCTGCTCTCTCCCCTGGTTCTCCATGTGTGCTTCTCTTTCTTTCTCCCTCTCTCCCTTCTTCCTCTCTGTCCTACACTGGCTTGGATGCAATAACAATCCTCTATCTCTGACTCCTCTGCTGCCTCTTCTAGTCTGGGTTTTCTCTCCCATAATCCTGCTAATTTTCTGCCCTTAGGTCTGATGACAGCGATTCCTCTGTCTCGGAGGTGCTGAGGTATAGACAACTTTCTATTTATTATCCCTTTCTCCTCCTCCTCTCTGTCTCATGAGTCTGCTCTCCCTTGTCCCTGCATGCTCCACCTGCACCTTGCTGCTCTCCCCCCAACTCCCAGCTTGTGTGTGCTGTCCTCTGTTGGCATGCCACCTCTGATGTCTGATGCTGTCCCCTCGGTTGCAAGTTTGTTCCTTCTCTGATTAGCCCTTGGAAGCGTGATGCTGGGGTCACCTACAGGCACTGGCTGGTTTGGGGTGGCAGCATGTTCTCCTCCACCTCTGATGGGTTCTCATCAGTATGATGCCACCATGTCCCATCCCGTTGCCCAGCTCTCCAGCAGGATGGTGTGATGCTGAGGAAGGGGGCAAGCAACCCTGGGCACTCCCAGTGTGTCCTTCTTGCAAGCATCTTCCAGGCAGATATCTCCAGGTGATCCCCACACCTGGTTGTGCTTCCCTGTGGGTAGGTAGATCTCTTTCCCAAAGAAACCGCGTCAGATTGTGGTGCAGAGCTCAGCCTTGGGGTTAAGGTGCTCCTGGGCTTGTCCCACTGCACCATCCGGCCTACAGAGGTTTCCCAACATGAAGGCCACCTTTCCCCCATCCTTGAGGAACATCAGCCCTCCAGCACCCGACTGTCTTCACCTTGAACATGCCCTGAGATCCTGCAGGTGCCCAGTTGCTGGGGCGGTGGCACCAGACAAGTCTGTGCTGTGTTACCTTGGGCAATTTGCTGTCAGGCAGCAACACAAAGTCCATTGGTAACATCTCACCTCGAGGAACCATGGTTCCCACTTAGATTAGAAACACTAGGGGTCAGGGGAGAGCTGTTTAATTTGAGTTTGTAAGTAAGTATAGCTGCTTGCTGAGAAAGAAAGCTCACATGCATGTGAATTCCAAACCCAAATTAATGAGCCTGTGTTTGTCCTCATGACTAATGTGACCTTATGTGGCCTTGGGCATGCCCTTCTCCAGCCCTGTGCCTCAGTTTCCCTGCCTATAAGAAGAGGCTAGTACAACCCAGGGCCCCACGGCCATGGGGAGGCTGTGTTTTGGGGTGCCAGCTGGGGAGAGCTGTTGGTGGCCATGCACACTGGGGTCTGGAAGGGTAGGGCTGGACGGTTGGTCCTCAGCACTCCGGGTACTGCTGAAGTGGAGGGGACTGACAGATGCTGTGTCCAGAGGGACAGGCAGCAGGCATCCCTTGGAGGGAGGTTTGGCAGGGATAGGTCCTCTGCTCAGAGCCAGCGGTGGGTGCAGGGCTTCCACAGGGATGCTGGGTGCAAGTGCTAGTGCTGTCCTTTGTCACCCTTCTGGTCTTATGTGAAGGGGTAGGGCCCTGTCTCCAAATGCCACAGGCTGACAGCCCCCAAGGAGCTGGGGTGCTGGATATTGGTACCCTGAAACATTTATTCCAGCAGAGCTTAAGGCTGGAGAAGGTGAGGTTTTTCCCAAACTGACCTGAGGACCGATAAGCTGGCTCCTTGGGTCTGTGCTGGACAAGCAGGAGAGGTTCAGCAGGAGAGTAGAGGCCACTGGGCAGACCCCCTTTCCCAGTCTGTACTGCTGGGGCAGAGTCAGTAGGCAGGGACTGCTCCTGGGGAGATTCCCGGGGTTTCCATGAAGACTTGTGCTCAGACATGCCAGCTTCAGATGGAGGGGCCATCACGCTGACAGGCAGTGGAAGATGGCTGGGGGGAGGCAGCTCTTGCTCTCCCATGTCCCTAGGGCTGTGTAGCATGATACCTTTCCACACACACCCCACCATGTTTGTTCTTTCTTTCCCACGCAAGGGGCATCATTAACCCGGTGGGTGGCACCAAGAATGCCCGGACAGCCCCGCTGCAGTGTGTCTCTGTGGCAGAAGGACACACCAAGCCTGTGCTCTGCCTGGATGCCACTGATGAGCTGCTTTTCACTGGGTCCAAAGGTGTGTGATGGACAGAGGGTGTGGGGATTGCTGGCCTGCAGACGCTATGGGAGCAGGTCAGCACGGGGGAATACATGAAGTGCTGGGCACCATGGGGATGGTTCCTCCTGGGCCTCTTTTCTGTCCTCAGTGTTGAGCCTTGCCCTGCACTGCCCTGGTGGCGGGGCTGGCTGGCTCCTTTCCTCTGGCCCTGTGGGTGGTGGGAGGCAATGCTCAGAAGGGGTATGGCCCACAAGCCACCGTGCCCACCACCCCCCCAGCCTGACACTCACATGTTCTTTCTCCCACAGACCGGAGCTGCAAAATGTGGAACCTGGTGACAGGCCAAGAAATTGCTTCCCTCAAGGGTCACCCAAACAATGTGGTTTCCATCAAGTACTGCAGCCACACGGGGCTGGTGTTCACTGTGTCGACGTCATACATCAAAGTGTGGGACATCCGGGACTCAGCCCGGTGCATCCGCACCCTCACGTATGTGGCAGGCAGGAGCGGCTGGGGGGAACCTGGGCACTTTGGGCATCTCTGGCTTTGCAGAAGCCAGTCTCAGGACCTACTGGGGCTGGGGACAGGGCCAAGTAGCAGCTGCTTTAGTGCCAGTTTGCAGTGCTGCATCCTTAGAGAGTAGGGAGGTTGGGAGAGAGCTTGGGGTGAGTGGACCCCTGGGGACCTCCTGCAGCGAAAGCTCAGGATAAAGAGCTTTGAAGAGATTTGCAGCTGATTCTGTGGGTGGCCAAGAGAGCTAGCAGCTCCACAGAGGAAGCACAGCCCCTAACAGCTTCATGGCTGAGTAAAGCACAGGCTTTCCAGTGAGAAACTTGGATCGTTATGAGGACTTTGAGGACCAGAAAGGAGCATGGGACAGGCTGTCTGTGGTCTGCCAGATTGGAGCAGGGCTCAAATGTTAGTGGTATATGGCAGGGCAGGGCTACCAGCTTGCTCCAGCCTACAGCTCCTTCCTCCATCCAGCCTTGGCTCATCTGCCTTGGCCTAAAGGTGCTTCTTCCTTGGTGCAGAGGCTAAATACTTCTGGCTCCCTGTGCTGACTGCCAGCACTAGCCAGCTCTTCCTGCAGGTAGCAAAGAGGAATGGGAGGAGAGAAGAGCAGCCCTCAAATGGAAACCAGGGCAGGGTACTCCTGAGTCAGGCACACACCTGACATCCTTGGCTCCCTCTGCAAGCAGGGCACTGGCCTAGGGCACAGAGGTCTTGTTGATCCCATTGTGGCCAGAGAGATGGTGATAACTCTATGGCCCTTCCCTGATGTGAGCCTCACCTGGGCCAGCCTGGAGCCAATAGCCCCACGCGGTTCATCTGTGTGGCCTCAGTGGCTCTGATCTCTCCTCATCCTCCCCCCTTGACCTCTCTCTCCCATAGATCTTCTGGACAGGTGATCTTTGGGGATGCATGTGCCGGGACCACCACCCGCACTGTCACCAGTGTGCAAGGGGAACACCAGATCAACCAGATTGCTCTCAACCCCACTGGCACCATGCTCTATGCTGCCACTGGTAACTCTGTCCGCATCTGGGAGCTGAGCAGGTGAGCAGGTAGTGCTGGGGTGGGCAGGAAAGCTTAAAGATGCTGATTGGACACTCTTGGCTCAGAGGGGCCTGAAGGACACCTCCTAGGGAAAGTAAAAGCCTTTTTAGCAATGGAAGTTGCTTGGAGTAAGGACTTTCAGGACCCTTTCCTATTTGTCTCAAGGAGTGATGAGCAGCAATGGAACTACTTGGGATGGGGGGATTGTCTGTGAGCTGGGAAGAGCTTAGAAGGAGAGGAAAGACATGTGTGATGAGCAGCAGTACCCCCCTGCTTTTGCCCTTGCCCCCTCCTTACCAGGTGGGCACTGTGCTGCTGCCCCCTTGCTGCAGCCTAGGCTCTGTAGCCAGATGCTAGCATGCCCCAAGGCTGCCTTCCTCTCCTGGCATCACTAAGAAGAAGGGCTCACAATCCCTCAAAGGAGGGAACAATCCCTACTGGGGTGCTCCAGAGCTGTGGGGGTCTCTGCCTGAGGAAGCCCCTTGAAGGAGCTTTGGCCACCTGGGAAGGGGCTTGTTAACCCATGATATTGACTTCAGGTTGCAGCCCATCGGGAAGCTGAGTGGCCACATCGGGCCTGTGATGTGTCTCACAGTGAACCAGACGGCGAGCAACCACGACCTGGTGGTCACAGGCTCCAAAGATCACTACGTCAAGGTACTCTCCCCTGTGAAGGGCAAAGCCCTGTGTCCCATAGGGAAGCCCAGATGTTAGCAACCCCTAAGGTCTCTTCTCTCCTCCTGAAATCTGAGCCCAGATTTTGTTTCTACATCTGCATGTGAAGTGTTTTCATATCTCCTCACCCCAGATCTTGCCTTTTGCTTGATCCACAATACAAATGCACCTTTGGAGATGGATATGAATTTCTCATCCTTTGGGCTCTGTGGTGATACTTGCATGTTATGGCTGACACAGATGAGCAGCTTGCCCTATTCTGCTCAGTTCTCCTCCCCAATACAGATGGTTTGCACCTGCTTGTTCACAGCTCCAGCAGAGCAAGAGCTTGTTCCTTCCTTTTAGTTTTTTGTTAGTTTTTAACAGGTTAAATTGAAGCTGGCACCAGGGGAGTGAAGAGGGATGGTGAGATAATGAGGGAGGCAGGATCCCACTCTTCTGACAGCTGCAAGCTGTTAGCTTGGCTCATAGAGGTGTGTGAAAGCTCACCATGAGTAAAATGCAGCAGAATGGGGGCTGCGTCTGCTGGCCTATGTCCCCTGATGGTGGCAGGATCCCTGGAGAGACCTCAGCCCCAAGAAAAGGCCTACAATGGCCAATGCCCACTCCCTTTCCAGCATCACTCTGGGTCCCCTGAGCCTGGAAAACAGAGGGTGATGTCCAAGTTCTCCAAGAGAGGGTGATCAACTATTTCCAGTGCCATCTGGGGTCTTTCACTCACTGTTTTTCCCCCAGGTGTTTGAGATTGCTGAGGGCACGGTGGGCAACATTGGCCCCACTCACAACTTTGAGCCCCCTCACTATGATGGCATTGAGTGTCTGGCCATCCAGGGAGACGTCCTCTTCAGTGGCTCCAGGGACAACGGCATAAAGAAGTGGGATCTGGAGAAGCAGGAACTTATCCAGGTCTGGAGGGGAGCATAGAGCACAGGTCCTTGGGGTAACATGGAGCAGAAAAGTGTTGCTGTTGGGGGTGTGGGGGGACTTCTGTTCAGGGAGTGGTGCCCGTGTTCTGCATTGAGCTAACCAGGAAGGGCACTCCCATTCCTGGGAATCTGTCAGTGCCTGTGTGAGGTGGCTCTGTACCCCGTAAGTTTGTGCTGTATGGCACTCAGGATTGCCAGCAACTCTGGGCACACAATTGCAGTGCTGGGTGTTGTGTTCCTCTCTAAAGACAGGATTGTTGTCTCCTGCCCAGGGCACAAACCAAGCCACAACTTTTGAATCCATCCCCTTGGCCTTTTAACTTTGCATCACTAGCCCCACAGTCCAGATCAGCCCTGGGGTGACAGTGAGAATCTGAACCCTCCAGGTTGGGTGCCTGAGGCTGCTGGTGGTGCTGCAAATGAGGTTGGTGATCAGCTCTGTTCTGTGTCTGCAGCAAATCCCTAATGCCCACAAAGACTGGGTCTGTGCCCTGGCTTTCATCCCTGGCCGCCCCATGGTGCTGAGTGCTTGCCGAGGAGGCATGATCAAAGTCTGGAACGTGGACACCTTCACCCCGGTTGGGGAGATCAAAGGGCATGACAGCCCCATCAACGCCATCTGCACCAACTCAAAGCACATCTTCACTGCCTCCAGGTGAGCCCTGGGCTTTCTGCTCCCCAGAGCCCCTGGGAGGTGGGAGACCCCTGGGTTGAACAGTCATCCCTGGGCCTGGGTGGGTTTGTGCTGAGTGGACGGGGAGGGAGGGAAGGGGGGGAATCTCGCAGTGTTCTAGTCCCTCCTCTCCTTCATCTCATCTTGCCCACCTTAGCCTGCCCCATGACACGGCCTGCCCCTGCAGTGCCGAGAGCTGTTCCCCCGGCTGTCCCCTGCCCACACTCTGGTGACGCCCTGGGTTATCCCCCATGCAGGGACCCCTCTCCCCCGGGGCTGGGCATCCTCTGCTGCTCTTGGGGAGCTCTTTGGCAGCAAGACTCTGATATCCTCTTTTCCACCATGTCCCTTTTCTCCCTTCCTTTTTCTCTGTCTCTCTCTGTCTCTCCTCCTCCCCACCTCCCATCTGTGCCACAGTGACTGCCGGGTAAAGTTATGGAATTACGTGCCTGGGCTCACCCCTTGCCTTCCACGACGCGTCCTTGCCATAAAGGGCCGTGCTACTAGTCTGCCTTGACCCTTCTGCTCTTTCTGACTCTTGCTCATGCACTCTTCTTCTGTCTTTTCTTTCCTTGTCTCTCTCTCTCCATCTCTTTCTCCCTCTGTCTTTCTCTCTGTTGCTTGCTTTTGCTCCTCTCTTTTTCTTTCTTTTTCTCTGGTCTGAGCTGCTGCTTCACGGTATGAAACTATTTTGCGTTTTTCCTCACTTGATAAAACTTTGCTAGAAGTGACTTGCTCCTTTGTCCCAGCCATACCCCCACATTGTTTTGGTTTGCTTTTTTTTTTTTCCTTGCCGAGTGCCCACATCTACTGTGGAAGCCATGGCCTGCCCGCACCCTTGCATGGATGGTGGGGCAGGAGTCAGCAGCCACCCCTGAAGCAGCCCATGCTCTGGGGAGACCAAGCTTAGCAGCTCCCTGTGGTATCACTGCTTTGACCTAGTTAGAGCTCATTCAAGGGGTGTAGGAGTCCTGTTGTCAGGGTCAGCCCTGGAGGTCACCATTTCCCTTTGTCCCCAGCTGCTGCTGGTGGGGTGAGCTGGAGGCTGAGCCCCATTGGGCCTGCCTGTTCCCCAGAACAGATTGGGCAACCTCCTGACAAGAGAAAAGGGCCTGGGAGTCTTGTGGGCTGCATGCTGCCATGGGCTGGGGGTGGGGAGTGTTTCTCCTTGCAGTCCCTCTCCACGGTGTGTCTGCAGGGCTCCTGCAGGAACCCCTGGGTCATGCCATGCCTCTCACCTTTGTTTCTCAGCGACTTGACCGTGAAGCTCTGGAGCGGTAGGAGGCTACCCACGGGGTCAAACTAGGAACTGCAAAAAGACTGGAAGACATGACAGGAGGGTGAAGGTCAGGGTACCTCTCCCTCGCTTTCAAGACCTGGTCATCTACAGGAGCTCAGCCCAGGGATAGGGATTTCTTTGTACCTGACTCAAGAGGGTGGACAATGTCCCATCTGGTACTTCGAGCACTGCCAGCTCCTGTGAGGAGGCAGTTCTGTGAAGCACTGACAGCTCCACCTTCCCTCCTGCTGAGGTTTCTTGATTCTTTTCCAGTGACAATAAAATGTTTTCATCTCTCTTCTCACCCACACTGCTGTAACACCTGCCAGGACTTCTGGGGGTCAGAGCTGCTTGGCTCCTTCTGAGACACCCAACTCCTTCCTGCCACCATGGGCTCATGTGGCCTCCACCGAGATGTGCTGCTTCTGTCCCTGTTGGCTCCGGGGCTGGTTCCTGCAGGAGTCTTTCTCCACTCCATGGCCACGAGGACATTTGGTGTCTGCTCCTTCTTTGGAGACGTTACTTGTGGGACAGCCTCTCTGCTGTGGAGGGTCTGCAGAAGGATTTCTAGGCAATCTCATTGTTTCCCATCCTCTGTCTGCCTGTCCCCAGTGGTTGGTGGTGTGCACCTCTGAGCTCCTTTGCCACATCCAAACTCTGGAGGCATGGCAAGCCTGGGAAGATCTCTGTCCAGCTGCAGTTCCCTTGGACATTCTCCAAACCCCAGTCATAAACACAGCTGACCCATGGCTCTCGGGCTCTTCCCTATGTGCCTACCCTGCTCTGCAGTGGGGAAGGGAAGGGCTGCTTAACCCTGCTCTTGACACCTTGGCCCTCAGCAGGGTTTTGTGGTGGGTTCCTGCAGCATGTTAACCCCCTTCAGATGGAGAAATAAAGCAAGAACAGAGGTTACAGGGCAAAGAAGCCAGGGCTGGATTCATCACCCCCACTCCTGTGGCCCATCTTGTTTTGCCATCACTGGGAGATGGAAGCTGTAAATCCTTCCCCCAGGCTCTGCTCTCAGCCCTCTACCTGGGAGGGGGCTAGCTCAGGTTTGGCCGTCAGCCCCTGTGGATCCAGGAGCTGAGAGGGCCCAGCAAGACCTGGAGGAGCTGGAGGATGGACCAGGTTGGGGTCAGCTTTCAGGAGCAGGGTGAGGAAGGGGTTGCACACACTGGTCTCGCACAATTCCCCTGATTCACCCCATGTTGAAGGACAATCCTGCAGTGGATGATTGTGCACAGTCCAATCTCCATTAAAGGCTGGGGGCTTCATCCAGGAGTGTTTCCATGAGGATGCAGCTTCTCCAGGCTCCCTCCTCCCCCTCTCTCCTATTCAAGGGGCTGGTAAGGCCCTGGTCTCACACTGAATCTTTCCTCCATCTCTCTTGAGGCCTTTGGACCACCCCTGGCTCTGTCCCGCCTTGGGCCAGTCAGGGCTTCTCGTGGGATGACCGAGGAGACCCTGGGATTGGTTCTCTTGCCTCACACACTCTCATTTCCCATCTGTCACAGAAGCAGCAGCGTTTGAACTCAAATATATAAGTATTTCTCCACATGATCCCACCAGCACTGAACTGGAATCTCAATAGCCAGAGGCTCCAGGACCTGTCCCATGAAGCACAGACCAGTTTCCCTTTGCTTTCTCCAACCATAGTGACTCATGGACCAGCCCCAGATCATTTGCCACCAGCCCTTGTTAAAACCATTCCGAGTGGAGCATGGGAATGCCTCTGCATCCTGAAAGACAGGAGTAACACTATTGCTTTGGTGGGGGGGGTTGCCTTTCAAGGGGGGAAAAATAACGATCCTACTGGCTTGCCTTGGTGGAGGGCATGATGGCATGTGTGGGTGTGACACTGCCCAGGACAGTGACTGGTCCCTTGTGATCCACCCAGGACCACGGCTGGTGGAGAAGTGGTGCCAGTGCTGGCAGCTCTGGGCTGCGTGTGCCCGGCGGGACTGGAGGGGGCAAACAAAACTGCACAGGGCACCATGTCCACCAGAGTAACACACAGATGTAGGGGCTGGAGGAAGTGTTGCCCTGCAAGCCTGTCTTGGAGAGGGTTTCTGCTCCTTCCTCATCCAGTTTAACCTTTGCTTGGCTGGAGGGGGGGGCGTTTGTAGCCAGGTGTACCTTGTGCATCTGTGTCTGCACCAAGATCTCCAGTGCCTGACCTGAAACCTCTCGCTGCTCCCTGCTGAAGTTGGTGAAGGGACCTGCTCCTGGGGGCTTGGGGTCAGACCTGCCTTGCCTTTTGCCACCAGTTTCTTCCTGTGTGTAGGCTGAAAGTCCTCCTTAATTTCCCAGGGCTGAGTGGCTAATGCTGGATGATGCTGAGCATCCCCCTCAGTGCTACATCCAGCAGTACATTGTGGTGGCTTCAAGGCTTTCACAGCCTGCAGGTGGAGGGAGCAGCAAGTGTGCAGAGAGGGGGGTCTTTGAAGAAAGGGGTGACTGTGATCCCTCTGTGTCTCTGTGTATGTCTTAGTATCTGTGTGGGTTGGTATTTCCCATACTGAAGAGTGTTTCTTGTGTTGATCTGGTTTAGCTACCTCACGGTGCAAGCTGGGTGCTGTCATCACTGGGTTTTGTTTTGGGGAGTTTGTTTTTCGTTTTTTCTTAATTATTGTTATAGTTTTGACACTTGAATTCATCCTGGGGACACGTGGCCTCACCCCCACCTCACTGCATGTCTGAGCCGCCCCTTGTGTCCCCCTCCCCGCCTCCTTGTGGGTAGTGCAGCAGGACCAGCATCCTGCTCTCCCCTATGCTCCCAGCTCTCACCTTTGCAGTGGTGAGTCACATCCCCCACTGAGTCACAACACTGGTATTTTGCTCCCATTGCTGGTGGGATGCTTGGACTGAGGCTCGGCGTTGTTGCCATTAGCTATTGGGTTGATTTGCAGCCTGGCATTGGTCCCTCTTGTCCCTTTGAAGGATAGAAAGGGACCTCTGAAAGGCTCAGCTCAGCTTGTATTCCTGCTTTTGCTCTCACAGATACTCTCTGTGGATGCAATGAAGCCCTTCTTGTCTGGGTAATGTCCATGCAAAGCACATCACTGGAATGGGCTGGTCCTAGGCCCCATTTTCCAGAGCCTGCTGTAATTCGGTGGCAGCCTGAAGCAGCAGGGAACTGGTGCTGTAAAAGCCTCTGTCCAGGGTGGGGGCAGTCTGTGAGAGAAGCTGTTTCTCATGGTGATGTTTGATTTTTCACCCCCAAAATGTCGTTGAATCTAAGTCCTGTCCTAGGCGCTGAACATAAACCAGGGTAACGCTGGAGCCCCCAGATTACCCCCTGCTCGGGGCTGGGGAGGTGACGTGACACAGGGCCACACCCTGCTTCCCTGGCACAGCTCTGAGCGACGCGGTCAGTTTGGAGGGGCAGGTTCCCCCAAACATTAAAGCACAAGGTCCCAACATGTGGGTGGTCTGGCAAGGGTGGTCCCTTGGACTCTGGTCCTTCAGAGCTCAGACTGGGGCTGTGGGCTTGGACAGCCAGGGTGGAGGTGGGGCTGGGAATGATGGTGAGGGCTGTTTGCCAGAGGAAGCAGGTGAGCTGTTTCATCCTTTCGCACTGTGCTGGGCTGCTCCCTTGGAACTCAGGACTTGCACTGCTGCACTGTTTAAGTCCCTTCTTATGGTCTCTGAGTCCCCTTTGCCAGCCCCTCCATTGCAGGGGCAGTTTGGAGCTGCCTTCACACCATGCACCTCATTTTCCTTCACCCTTGGGTGCCTTGGTTTGTCCTAAGGGTGGGAACGGTACCTGCAGTCCAGGGAGGTCCTTCCCTTCCTCAAATCGCTGGGTGATGTTTTTGTCCCTGGGCCCTGACTCTTGCTCCATGGGTCTCCTCCCTCCAGCACACAGGGGCCAGCTCCAGCCTCTGCTGAGGGCACAGTGCTGGCACACAGCTGAGCTCTGCACACAAGGGGTGGAGATGACTCAGGAGCCCAAAAGTACTGGGCCCTCAAACCACTGTGAGCCCCCCAGAGAGCTGGGCATGGCCCCTGCCCTGGCAGCCCCAGCTCTCACAGCACAAAGGGTCCCTCTCAGCCTGGACAGCTGCAAGGAGCTGCAGCACCAGGGGCCTGTCTCCACCAGGTATGTCGTTCCTCTCCAGCACCTTCAAGCTCAGCTGCTGTGGGGTCTGGGATACTGCCTCCTACCTTGGTGCTGCAGAACCAGTGCCAGCTCCCCTGGGCACTTGCCCAGAGTCCCTGTCCGAGCCCTTCCCCTGTCCCATGTGGATGAGGGGGGTCCAGGTACAAACTCTGCAGAGCACAGAGCTCCCACTTGCTTTTCACAATCTCACTGGAGCTTTACCACAAGCTGCACACCTTCCGGAGCCCCCTTCACCCTCCTGGGGAGGGAAGGGGGGCCCTGGCCCCTCCACGTGCTGCATGGTGCTCCAGCTGTAACTGGGAGGGAGCCCAGCACCGCCCTGACCCCCCAGGCCCTGTTCTGGCTGCCTGGACCCCATACCCAGAAAAGCACAGGTGTGTACCTTCCTCCTGCCCCCAGGGGCTTGTCCCCTTGTCCATACCAGCTCTGCCCTGCTACCTGCCATCCCCCATGTCTTTGAACGGCCCAGCACCCTCCAGTCCAGCCCTGTGGCAGGGCTTGGGCAGCTGCAGCGTCGCGTCACCTGCTCCGTCACCCCTTTCCGCTGCACAAGTATTGCAAATAGCAGGTGCCTTTTCTTGCTCGGAGCTGTTTTCTAGAGGCCAGCTCTTGTGAAGCCTTTTTTTCTCTCTGCTGGGTTGTGCAGCCCAGCCCCACGGTCTGGGTTTGTCAGAGGACAAGGCGTGTACGTATACTTTATACCTCGATGTGTTCCTGTAAATAGTGTAAGTTATTTTGGTCTCATGATGTACATGTTTTTTCAATGGATGTGTTTGTTCTTTGCCTTTTTGTCTTCACAAATAAAATGTACTGAGATGAAGTGACTGAGCAGCGATGGGTTTGAAGAGGGGAAGAGCACAGCTGGGAACTGCCCATCCCATCCTGGTGGGAGTGGGGCTGGGGGAAAGGCTAGGTGAGCCGATGCTGCTGCAGCCCAGGAGATGTTAGGAGGTGACCTGCATCCTTCCTTTCTTTTTTTTCTTTTTTACATTCAGTTTGGAAAACACCCTCGGGATCATCGAGTCCAACCCTCAGCCCGAGTCTTCAAAGTTCTCCCCTACCCCACATCCCCCCACAGCTCATCCAAACGGCCTTTAAACACCCCCAGGGATGGGGACTCCCCCCTCCCTGGGCAGCCTGTTCCACTCTCTGACCACTCTTGCTGGGAAACATTTTCTCCTCCTGCCCAGCCTGACCCTCCCCTGTTGCAGTTTCCAGCCGTTCCCTCTTGTTCTGTCCCTGATGCCCTGGGAGCAGAGCCCAGCCCCGGCCTCTCTGCAATGTCCTGTCAGGAGCTGCAGAGAGGGATGAGGGCTCCCCTCAGCCTCCTCCTCCTCACACTGAACACTCCCAGCTCCTTCCCTGGCTCCTCACAGGATTTATTCTCCAGGCCCTCCCCCAGCCTCGTTGCCCTCCTCTGCCCTCGCTCCAGCCCCTCCAGATCTCTCGTATTGAGGGGCCCAAACCGGGACACAATCCTTACAGGCCCTGAGTCCGCAGGGGGGAACTTACGGGGCTGAGGTGGAGGAAGCACAGACCCAGCCCGGCTGGCTCTGCCCCTCCCTCCTGCCGAGGAGGAGGGGAGGAAGGGTCCACCCAGGTAGTTTCAAGCGAGTGGCAGCCACCCCCCGCAGAGCTCAGAGCCCCCCACCCCACC